GACCTTCACAAACATCGATAACATGTTCGACATAACCAGATAGCTTCCATGGTTTGGTTGTCATGGTCATCTCTCTCTTGTAATGCACTGGCTGCTCACAACAACATTGACTATGCTTTGGCTGACATGTTTTTATTGATGTTTGTCAAGTTTATACCTTCAACCTCATGACACAAAACAATCTCTTGAGGCTAAAGGTACGACCTTCAGAAACAGGAGAAGGAGGAAGAAGAGGAAGAAGACGAAGAGGAAAATGAGGAGGAGAGAGATGATGATAATGCTGAAAAAGAGAAAGAGGAAGAAAATGAAGACGATGTAGAAGAAGAAGAAGACAAAGAAGAGGAAGAAAACGAAGAGGAAAAGGAGGAGGAGAGAGATGATGAGAATGATGATAATGAGAAAGAGGAAGAAGAGGAAGCAGGCGAAGGGGAGAGAGAGGAAGAAGAGGAAGGAAGCGAAGAGGAGAAAGAGGAAGAAGCGGAAGAAGACGAAGAGGAAAATGAGGAGGAGAGAGATCATGATAATGCTCAAAAAGAGAAAGAGGAGGGGGAAGAAGGGGATGAGGGAGAAGAGAAAGATGAGGAAAAATATGATAATGTGGAAGATGAAGTGAAAAAAGAGGACAAACGAAAAGAGGAAGATGAGGAAGAGCAAGATGAAGTCGATGTAGGAGAGGAAGAAGAAAAAGACGAGGAAGAGGGTGAAGAAGAAAACTAGGAGGGCCCAGATGATGATAATGGTGAGAATGCGAAAGAGGAGGAAGAAGAGGATGAGGATGAAGTAGAAGAAGATGAAAATGAAGAAGAGGATGAAGAAAAAGTGAACGAGGTGCTTGAAGAGGGAGAAATGGAGGAGGAAAAATACAATGAGGAAGGAGAGGAAGACAAGGAAGAGGAAGAAAAAGAGGAGGAACATTACGACGAGGAAGGAAAGGAAGACAAGGAAGACGAGGAGGATAACAATGTAGAAGAAGGTAAAGAAGAGGGTGAGAGGGAAAATGTAAATGAGGAGGCGTTAGACAATGAAAATGATGAAAATAAGAATAAGAAAGAAAAAGAGGAGGAAAAAGAGGAAGTGGAAGAAGAGGAAGATGATGGATATGAAGAAGAGGGAGAAAATGAAAAGGATAAGGACGAAGAGAAAGATAAGGAAGGGGGGGATGATGAAAACGATAAAAGAAGGGAAAAGCAAGAGGAGGAAGAAGAGGATGAGGATGAAGAGGAAGCTGAGGAAATGGACGATAGTGAAAGTGGAGAAGTAGAAGTTGACCTTCAGCATTTCGTACGGTTGCATAAATTTGTTCAAACACAACTGGAGAGGAGCCTTGACATTCGTAACACAACTGGAGAGGAGCCTCTCCAGTTGTGTTTGAACAAATTTATGCAACCGTACGAAATGCTGAAGGTCAACTTCTTCTCTCAACTTTGTGAGACAGTCGCCCGAGGAAGAGGTGAAAGGAGAGGACGAGGATGAAGCGAAAGTCCAGGAAGAGAGAAACGAAGAAGTGTCACATAAATCTAACCAATCCGTACCATACGAAAGCGGTAATGTTCCACCAATCAGACCAGCGCTGCAAGAAAGAAGAGGGAAAAGCAAAGAAAGGGAAGAAAATATTATAAAATTGACTGAGGAAAATGAATGTAGTGATGATGATAGAGTTTTTCCTGGTCCGGAGGATGTGAATGAAGAAGATATAATTTCTTTGTCGCCGTCATCGGGAGAGGAAGAGGGAAGGAGAAAAACCCTCGATGAAATGGAAGTAGAGGAGGAGGGTGATAGAACTGGAGATGCTCCTTGCATGGAGGGCACGGAGGATTTTGAGGAAAACAGTGTAGAGGACGCAGGGGATGCGATAAGGCGAGGGAAAGGTGACCGCTCCACTAGAAAAGAAAATAAAAATGTGCAGGAAGCTTCTGTACGATCAAGTGAAGAAGAAGAGGAAGAGGAGGGTATATAGAATGCGGATGTGGAAGATACCACGGACATAAGTCCATTCCGGACTTATAGATTTGAGATCTCACTTTTATGACGCAAAAAAAATCGATTAGGACAATCACGACATTATACACGATCATTTAGAATTGGACTCCGATAGACACAAATTTGACAACCGCCAGTGTGGGTTGAAAAATTTGGAAGGGATTCAAAACATGACGCCAAGAGCCGTCTTTTTTAGATTGTGGCCGCCAAAAGTTTTTGACATGATTGTGAAGGAGACAAACGAGTATGCAAAGAAATGATTAGCGACGGTGAGGAGAGCTGCGCAAAAGTCGCGACCATGGCGGCCGACGGATCGCATGGAGATGATAGTTTTCTTTGGGCTTGTCATTGCGATGGGTTTCAACCGCTTGCCCAACATGAAAGATTATTGGAAAACAGTAGCGCAAGATGCTGTTTCTTTCACAGATTTCGAAAGAGTAACGAGTCAGACACGCTTTGAGGACATTAAACGAATGCTCCATCTGCGTGATTCAACGAAGAGACCAGAGGATAAAAGTATGAGAGCGTATCGATTGTGGCAGCTTGATCCGCTAATAGATAAACTAAGGACTGCAGCACAACTGTATTTTTATCCTGGAAAGGTGTTATGTTTCGACGAGAGGACAATCCCTACGAAAAATCGGTTTTGTCCAGTGAAAGTGGTCAACAAAAGAAAACCTCATCCTGAAGGTATCCAAGAGTGGAGTTTAAATGATTGTGAGACAAGATACCAGTTCGATTTTGATGTTTACGATCGTGTACATAAGCGGCCCGGAGTAAGTAGAGTGGAAGGTTCGAGGTTAGAAAGGAAGCATTTAGGCGTATTTCAGAGAGTTGTGTACGATAGAGTGGGTGCCGTGGGGAGAGGGCACATCATTGTGATGGACCGGGCTTTTGCGGAGACCCGTTTGTTTCAACTGCTGAAGACGGAAAAAGGAATTTTGACGACCGGTCCAGTCAAGTTACCCTACCAAAGACCGACAGAGAAGCCGGAAGGCCGGCGGAAAAAACCTTCTTTGCGTTTCCCGTCGAGTTTGCGGCTTGAGGAAAATGTTCCTCCAGGATCAATGAAATGGACGCACGCACATCAGCTGCACACCGGGATGGTTGCATGTGTGTGGAAGACGAGGTCGAACACCATACCATTTCTATCAACGTCGCACGGGTGTCGTCCTGTCGAGGACGAGAAATGGGTAGGAGGAAAGAAGGTGGTCATCGTGAAACCGGAATGCATTATGTTTTACTCAAAGCACATGCATGCCACCGATGCATTCAATAAAATGTGTAATGGTAGAATAGGTTGCGAGGAGATGATGACATCGAGACGCTGGTGGCCACGATATCTATGGGGGAGGTTGGATGCAGTTGTGACAAACGCGTACATCCTCAAGAAGGCAGGTGGGGGGAGCGTTCAATCGCACGAAAATGTTTGTTTGGAATTGCAAGAGGAATTAGTGGCATGTTTTTTGATAGGCACGTCCATTCCGAGGCAGTTGCGTTATGGAGATTTGAGGATTGTCATTCCCGGCGAGGCTCTATATCCTGGAAGGTTCACGGATGCACACTATCCCGGAATGACCGTACTGGATGCAAACGGCAAACATCCTGCACTGAACTGTGTTGTTTGTACTTCGTTGTGTAAAAGAAAGTACCCTGGGTGGGTGATGGACAGGATAACACACACGTGTGCGACGTGTGCAGTGCCTTTGTGCATTGTACCTTGTTTCAAATTATTCCATCAGTATGCTATTGATGGATATGATTATAACTATCGGGCCTCGAAGCAGTCTGAAGGTTCCGGAAAGCGAAGAAGGCGATCGAGCAAGATAAATTACAGCACGCAGCTTGCTGCACCGGTCGTGCGAGGGGAGAGAATCCAAAATGAATTTGGAATATAATGTGGCCAAAGGCGGCGAAGGATGGGAAAAGGTAGTGCATGAGGAAGTGTTCCAGCAGTTGGAGATATAACTGTTTTACTAGAGTAGACAGAAAATGATTTGTACATGGTACTTGTATATGTGCGCGACTGTATAGATTCATGTATTATAGTTTACATTGTTTTGCGGGTTTACGTGTGTTGTGCAAAGAGGGGGGGGGGGTTGCGTATTCTGTATAATGTACTAATATTATGAGAGCGAAGCTCAATTTGACGTTTTGGTGATGAATGCCCGTAGATAGAACATGCATTATGCATTGCATTGATTGTCTTGTGGTAAAAAGTAGTGTAGGAGGAGTTCCACCAGTCGGAGATAGAACTTTCTACCTAGAGTGGAAAGAAAATGAAAAACTCTTGATCTTCAATTATTAGTAAAATAATTTATACATGATACTTTTATATGTGCATTATCGTATAAATATTTTGTATGATGTGCTATTATTAGGAAAAGCAAGCTGAAATTAGACGTCTTGGTCAATTTATGTAATATTCATTACATTGTTCTGTGGGTTTACGGGTGTTGTGTAGGGCGGGGGGCGGGGGAAAGAATGCAGAAAGAGGAGGAATTGAGGAAGGTGGAGGAAAAATTCGTCGACATTCATCATCAAATGTTGGGGACAGCAAATCAGCTTGCACAACACAGATATAAAATATTTGATTGTTCAAGGAAGGAGTTGTCTAACGACAGTGGGGTAAATGCAACAGTTTGCGCCAGCGGCGTTGAGACGTTGCCGGCAAGAGTGGAGAAAGAAGAAAAATTACAATTAAAAATATTTGTAATGGCAGAAGAGATTGTTGAGCTTCGTGAACAGGTCGTCGTTTTGAAAAAACAGCGGGATGATTTGGTCGTAGAGAATGATATGTTACGTTCCAGATTACAACGATTTTATAATTCCAAAGGAAAAAATGTTTCAGAAAACCCTTTGCCGCATACACACCCTCTTGGCCTACAGTTATCTCCTATGGGAGGAGTGAGTGGAGACGATAAGCAATTGCAAATGTCATTTAGGGCAATGCGAATTGCCAAACGAGACAGCAACCGAAGACCAAATGAGGATAAATAATATTTTGTTTGTTTTATTTGGGTAGCGATCAGTTGTGGCGGGTAATGATGATAGATTGTATAATTTAAGTTTAGGAGAAATTATCCTTTTTTTTTTGGTGAAATGTAAAAAAACAGTATGAAATTGTTAGTCACACTGTCTGCTTGGCTTGGAGGTGTAGCGTATAAAAAAATATATCGGAGCAAATGACATATTCTCATAAAAGTTCGGTATTTATAAAATAGTTATTTTAACTGCAAGTATTTGACTTGTATTCTCGAGTTGTGATTATAATTGTTTGGCATACGTGTATTTCATGTGTTTTGTTGTTCTAAAATCAGATGAATGATATTTTTTTTGATATGCGCCTTAAGTAAAACCAACCATTTTTTATATGAAATTGTTTTGTTTATATTTTTTTACTTCGCATCTTTTTACGTATAAATTTTTAAATTTTTGTCACTAAGGTGATCGTTTTTATTTACGTCTCGCGTCTTCATTGTTTGACAGGCGAAAGACTATGGTTTTGCAATTTAAGCAGAGCAACAGAACAATGCAAATACACGAATCTATTGTGGTTAATAGCTACAAACAGAGACTGCGCTGCATAATTTACGCGGGCAAACTCCACAGATGTGACAAATTGCTTTACAGGGATGAATAACTGTACAGAAACTGCGGACGGGGTAAAAAGAGTTTACAAACATGGATGTTGCTTTACTGGGGTGAATAGCTATACAGAATTGTCGCCCGGGGGTTTGAGAAGTTCCCTGCAGACACGATTTATGCTTGACGAGTTTATGTTGATTTCTTTTATTGTTTAATTTGAAAATTTATATTGTGAAGGCGGAAAGTCCGCTTTGCTGAATGATTAAACACATGCTGAATAGTAAATGAACTCTCTATGAAAATAAAATTGTTAAGTGATTTTGTATTTATCTCTCTCTGTTATTCATATTGAAAATGTTCAGAAAGACATTTTGTGCATCAAATATATTGGAATGAATATAGTTCATTAAATCTCAGGATGGAGATAGTCCATTGATTTTTATCTATTCTCTGCGGTTCTCTCTCTATCCTCTGTGGATATCTGTATGTTCATCTCTCTGATAACCAAGTGTACATCGTTCCTTAGGCGGTCCTTATTGCCAGTCACTGCCAGTCACTGAAGGGTGTGGGTACATGTTTTTGTGAGGCTTTATGGTCAGTGGTTTGCTCGCTGATCTTTGGCAAACTATCTATTTTGGGCTACGGGTTATAGTTTAATATTTAAAGCTATGTGTCACATGTCTGAGTTAGAGTGTTGGTCACAAGCCAGCTGGCCATG